ATATAAATATTAATTATCCTAATAAATGAATTAACCAACTTCCCTTTGCAAAATCTTAGGAACTCAAATGGTATTAAAGGAGGTTAAGAACTTTGTTTCCTAAAAAAAATCACTCAAAACTTTTCAATACCTTAAAAACAGTGAAATGAGCAGTAAATAACATAAAAGAATACAAAATAAAAATTCTGAAAAGCAAAGCATAATTAATGATATTTTATCTTATATTTTCAAGAGAAAAAATTACAATGAAATAAGCTATATACCTTAATACAAATATTCGTTATCCTATAAAAAATTAACCAACTTTCCGTTGAAGAAAAAAATCATGCAAAAACTTTTCAATATCTTACAAACAGTGAAATAATAATAATAAAAAAAAAACAATAAAAATGTATTATATATATAAAAAAAAGCCAATTTCTTAAAAACAGTGACATAAGAAATATGATGAAAAAACCCATATTTCTAAAAGAATGAAACTATTCAAAATGATGCGATTTCATCAAAAATCTATCAACAACAATAAGAAAGGAAAATTGTTGCCAAAATCACATTTTTAGAGATGTGAGATGTGAACTCTGAAGCTTCATTTAAAAAAATTTTTTTAAATACAAAATATTATCATTTTTCCAAAATTCTTTTTGTAAAAGCAGTCCCAAAGATGAAAGTTTAACGTGTCCAAAATTCAAAGAAAAATAAACTGTACATTTTTAAAAATAAACTTTTTTAGAAAAAATCCCGTTGAAAAGGTGTTAAGCTAACTTTGTTAAATAAATTCGCATTTAATCGATTTATTGAAACACGAAATTTATTTTTAAGTTCTTAAAATAGCTAAGTGCCTATGTTTCATGACGATGTGAAAATGGAGTGTGTAGAGTAAAATCTCGCTTTCTTATAGCCCATTATGTCTCAAAATGACAGGATTTCGTCACAAAACATAAAATAAAAAAAATTCTAATTCAAATTTCGAAAAAATCGCTTCGAGGTGCACTGGCTCTTGTCTAGATGTACCAAATTTCGTAGCCATGGGTCTATGTTAAACTTCTGCTTTTAAAATTAGTTTCAGTAACAACAGATAGAGCAGGAGCAATGATAGGTTGCATAAATAAATGCATAACTCTGTGTCTAAATGATCATGAATTCCCAAGCTCCTTAAGCTGTCATTGCATAATTCACCAATAAATGTCAGCCAGTGAGCAATTTAATGCAAAAGTAATATTGAATGTAGCACTAAAAACTGTTAATTCCATTCAAGGAAGTTCCATAAAGCAGCATTTCTTCCATCAGCAATTTGATGAAGAATAGTAAGAATTATTATTATATACCAATATAAGATGGCTAAGTGGAAGTAAATTTCTGCAGCAATTTCATAATTTATTAACTGAGATAAAAAATTTCTGGAAGAGCAAGATCAAGAATGTGAAAATTTAAATGACGAAACTTGGCTGAGTGATTTAGGGTTTCTTACACACATGATTAAAATTATACATGATTTAAAATTGACTTACATGATAAACTTACATGATTTAAAATTGAGACTTTCAAGGAGAAAAGAAGACAATGATTGAAATGATCAATAGCATCAATGCATGTAAAACAAAATGTATTATACTAATACAAGATCTTCAACAAAATTTGAATCACTTTCCAGATATGTCTGAACATTTATGAAAATATCAAAACTGTAATTATAACATTGAAAATACACTGGAAAAATTTAAAAGGTGACTGAATACTCCGAGATAAGATTTCATGACTTTGAAAAAGTTAAAAATTATTGTGTTGCGTCTCTCTATTCCTTTTAAAAAGGATTTAAATGTAAAACATGTTGAAGTAAAATTTTATAACAGATTTAACATTGAAAAGAAAATGAAGTTGTGCTTTGAGAAACTGGACTAACTTTACAAGCTAGAGAACAGGAGAAAAACTTGGAACTACATCAGTTGAGAAAAATTTTCCAAACGTCATCAAATTTCGCGAATGTATGTATTCATATTTTGGATCTAGTATATATTTAAGTGAATCTTTTTTTTTATATTTATAGTTTATGAAGACTAATTTATCAAGTCCCATATGAATATTCATTATCATTATCTTAGTCTAGATACACACCATTGGTTAGATACATGCAGACGTACATTTCCATTAATGATAAGATATAAATATAATTTATTATATATTTTTTGGTGGCTACTTTTCAATTAATATATATTATTAATAAAATACTATGCTGTTTTAAAGCCCTCACCCATCCACTGCCCTCTATTAAATATACAAAATACAAGTTTGAATGTGTTAAATTTAGTAAATAATGTGAATATATAACTTTAATAAGTAGATCATGATACATTTTTAACAAAAAAGTTAATTATATATATGTGTACGATATAAGAAAATATGATAGCTGCTTTAAAAAATAATTGGCAACCTCAAATTTAACGATTCTAGATTTGGTGCTCTCCCCCTACATTCATCTGTTCTTCCAAATTCGAGATACTTCCATTTTATATAATGCTACATAAAAAGGGCAACTAAAATTAAGCAATCACAGATTAGCTGTACTTACTACAGACTTAGTATAAACATTGCTGGTGAATTAGTTACATCATTCTTTTCCTAGCTTCGCCACTGCTAAGATATCCCCGGTGCTTTGCTTCCCAAATGCTTACGTCATTTCTTTAAAAAACCAATGTACATAGCAATTTAGCCTATTTAATTAATTATGATTGAATAGGTGTCTGCTAGACTAATTGGATATGTGTGAAAATAAAGATTGGTGATTTATTCAAAATCCAAATCGTTATCTTTATCTGTATGCCTTAACCATAAGCCATGACTGCTACCAAAAACTGTTAAGAGTTCCGGTGTTTTGTTCTATGCATAAATTATTACATATATATACAAAAGTTGGTAACCCCGGTTTATATATTATACTAGCAGTATAAAATAAAATTTATCCCTACTACGTAAACCACTATTAAGATTAATTTATAAATTATCTCTCTTTTTTAAGCTGATGTGCAATATACTTTTTTAATATAGAAGATAAAAGAGAGATTTTAATCATCATCAATTGGGAAAAACTCCCGAACGTTATTTGTAATGGAAAAAAAGTACAGCATGAAAACAATAACAATCTCTCGAGCTATCAATAAATTTTTCTTCAGTATTATCAGCCATTTAGGACAAATAGTTTAAAAAAAAAAAAAAAAAACTGAATTACAATAAACTGCTGAAAAATGCAAAACAAAAGGTTTAAAAGATTCAAGAATGTAACACCTTATAGCATTAATTTTGACAAGATTTTCTGTTTCAGAATTTGAAAATTAATTAATTAATTAAAAATAGATTATCTGGCTATTATCAGTGGTGACAGTCATTTTCGGATTATCTCCTATTAACAGAGAATCTCATCCCAAACTTATCATTGTACATTGAGAATCCTATGCTGTTTCTCAAAACTTGATTAACCTTTTGAGACCGGGGCTTTAGTAGCAGTAAAAGTCTTAAAAGGATGGGGAATCTTGAACCGAATGCTTTCCCCCTTTAAGAAATCACTTCCTATTTGCAATAAAGATTCTTGTGTGGTTTAATAGATTCTCAGAGGGATGCATCTATGACGCAAAAGGAAGGGAAGTGTAGGGTGTTGGTGTATTTAATTATGGCAAAGCACACGAGGGATATCTGCCTAAGGGGAGGGATGCCTTCGTGGACGACTTTCTAAGGGAAACTGGCTCGTATACACATTACACATGGGGAAAACCACGAAAACACCCATGCAGCCAGCCCGTTCGTGGGATTCGAACCTCGGACAGAACCACCAGTGTTCAGCGACTTTACCGCTCAGCTGCTGGTGAGCCTGGGAAGTGTAGGGATTAGTGACCAGACCTGAGGGAAAATTTCATATTACAGTTGTTCCGGATTGAAACAACTGGGAAATGTGTAAACCTCTGTTGAAGAAAATGCCATTCTTTACATTGTTATTGCCATTCTTTACCTTACTTTCGCTCTTATAAAATTTTGGTTTGAATTTTAAATTACACTGCAAAACTATGTGTCTGTATAAGTGCTTACAATAATTATTTCGATCGTATCTTTATATTAATGTTATGCCAAAAAATGCTTCAACTATTTCATTATTTCCTTGGACAATTTAAAAATTTAACCAGTCTTCATCTCAGTCTTTTTTTTTTTTTTTTTTTTTTACTGTTAAACGTCTTTATAATTTTAAATTTGTTTTGGTATATATTATCAAATACAGCTATATCTTTAAATTTTCTTCCATACAGGGAATAATTAAAAAATAAATGCTTAAAGCTATAGAAATGATCAAAAATTAAAGTTCAGTGAAACTGTTAAAATAATGCTTTATAGGCATAATGAAATTTTAATTTTACATAATTGTTCAAAATCTGCTTGATAACATACTATTTGGAGGAAACCTTCAGCAAATTAGAATATAACTGGTTTAATTAAAGACAATTTTATTTTATTGTAGACTGTTAGTACTGCAATGTCCAACTACATAAGTGCTACCAATTAAAATTCAGTTCTTTTCAAAAATTAATGTATAATAAAACAGATGCTCAAAAACTGTTTTTTAGAATATTTTAGTTTTAAAAATTTGGAAAGAGGGAAAAAAAAAGGGATTATTTAATCATGTATCGTTTTATACTGTTTATTGAAAATTAGTAAGTGATATATTTTGTTCACCTCGTTTGTGAAGGGGCGCAGAAATTGAGCTCCACACTCATCAAAAGATCGACGCTACCTTTCAAGACAACACATTTTATCCCTACTCACTAACATATACTAAGATACAGAAAAACTAGCAAGATTAAACAGCGGCCTCTTACGGCGGGCAATGGATGGCGTAACACACTGGGCCCCCATGACCCCGTCATCAGCTCAGCTAGAAATATAAACTGAAATATAATGCAACACATAAAAATTAAACAAACTGTAAATTTAATTATAAAACATGGAAAGAAATAATTCAATCAGTCATTTATAGGAAGTCTGACCAGTTTATGTATTGGTCTTTTCATTTCACTCGACGCAGTTTTTAAGTTGACTGACCTTACTCTTTGGTCAGTTCCTTTATAAGTGCAAATTACTTTTGCCATCTTCCACTTAAGTGGCGGCAAGTTCTCATCCTTGATTAGCACCAAGTCATTCACACGTAAATCGGCACTGGGAAGTTTCCATTTGTTGCGCACTTGAAACTGAGTTAAGTAGTCTTTTGACCACGATTTCCAAAACGATTGGGAAATCTGTGTGACTAATTTCCACCGTTCACGGATGGGAATTTTCTCATTTCTTACATCAGGCTCAGGAACACTTTTTAACTCAAAACCGATAATAAAGTGACCCGGTGTAATGACAGAAAAATCATTTGGGTCCTCAGAAGCAGCCACTAAAGGACGGGAGTTAAGTATGGCTTCAATCTCCACTAGACACGTTGAAAATTCTTCTTGTGAGAGGATCTGCGATCCTATAACACATCTCATGTGAAACTTCATGGATTTAACGGCAGCCTCCCATAGGCCTCCAAAATGAGGGGCTGATGGAATATTTATTGTCCATTTAACACCTTCGTTGGTCAAGTAAGTACCAAGTGACTCCATCATACACGCTTTTAAGTAATTCTTTGCACCGATAATGTTTGTTCCACAATCACTGAATATTTCAGCGGGCTTTCCTCGTCATCCTATGAATCGTTTCAGAGCTGCAATGCATGCCTGAGCACTAAGGTCACTAACAAGTTCTAAATGGACGGCTTTCGTTGTAAAGCATACAAACACACATACGTACATTTTCAGTGGTTTAACTCCTCTACCACGTCTAGGGCTGATCAAGAATGGGCCTGAAAATTCAGTTCCGCATTTAAGAAATGGTCTTCCTGGATTCACTCTCGCAGAAGGTAAATCAGCCATCATTTGTTTCGAAAACTCAGAGCAAAATCTTGCACAGATAACGCACTTTCTTATTTCTCTGCGTATGGCAGTTTTTGCTCCTATAATCCAATACTTTTGTTTCATCGCAGAGTTAACTAATTGTACTCCTCCGTGCATATACTTAAGGTGATAAAATGTCACTAACAATTTTGTAACAGGATGATTCTTAGGCAATATTATTTGATGTTTCACTGAGTCTGGTAAGCTGGCATTTCTTAAACGTCCTCCTACACGTAGTATGCCACTGTTGTCTAAGAACGGATTTAGAGAAATTAAAGAACGTTTCTTTAACACTCTCGCTTTCTCTAAAGTAGCTATTTCCCTTTTATATTCAGTTCTTTGGACTAGTTTGATTAGAATATCATGCGCTTCTTTTAGTTCATTTGTTTCTAAGAAAGGAGCCAAAATCCTATTACACCTCACATTTCTTATAAACCTTAAACACCAAGCAACAACTCCCTGCAACTTACTCCAAACTGAAAATTTGTTCCAAAGCTGCTCAACTAATTCCAACTGAACTACAAAACATTTGACAGAATTTTTTTGCTCTCTTAGTATTTCCGCACTGTCTACATTTGGTAACCCTCTAACCCAATGTTTAGGCCAACTCTCAAAACTTTTTCGAAGCCAAATTGTACCTGACTACCATTTTTCATTAAGTACCAACTTCTCAGCCGAGATTCCTCTAGTAAGCAAATCTGCGGGATTATCGTCAGATGGACAATAATACCAATCACTTGGACTCGATTTTCCTGAATTTCCACAACCCGGTTGGCAACGAACTGTTTCCATCTCTTCGCACTTCCCTTCACCCAATGCAACGCAATACAAGAATCACTCCAAAACACTATTCTTTCAATTTTATCCTTAAAAACACTCTCAAGGTAATTTTCCACTCTAGTGCCTATTACCAAGGCTATTAGCTCCGACCATGGCAGCATTAGTTTCTTTAGTGGTGACACTCTACTCTTCGACATTCTGAAAGATATTCTGTAATTCCCATTATTCCCACAATATGTAAAATAAACAACAGTTCCTTAAGCACTTGGTGAAGCATCGCAAAACACATGTACTTCCTGATTGCTCATTCTCACAATTCCAGAAAACAATATCTCGGAATAGGTAAACGTCTATTAAATTTTTCAATTTCTGTTACACCACGTTATCCACTTTTCCTGCAAGTCCTCCGGCAATCTCTTCCGTCCCAATCACATGCTCTCTTCCCAAATTTCCTGTAACAATAACTTTATACGTATCACAAAATGGCACAATCAAACTAATATGATCAAAGATTCTTGCAGCTGTCTGTAAAACACATCTTTTAGTGCATCACAACGTTTTCCATGAATCCACCAAACCCTTCACCTCCAACGACAACTCATCTCTATCAGGATTCCAATTCAACCCTAGGACTTTCAGCTGTGAACTCCACTATCTCACTGTCACTAAGTCCATTTTCTATCCACAAATTTTCTAATTCTCTACTGTTCGACCTCAGTTTCCTTAAAATTAAATCCCCACTCTTTAATATTGATAATCATCCGACGACAACTTAAATGATTCTCTCGCACTGTCTCCACCTAATATAAATCGTCTACGTAAAGTGATGAATTTAAACATTTCAATGACTTCGGTTTACTTTCCTATATTTTTTTATATGATGCTTTATATAGCACTCAAAATAAAAGGGGAACTTTTACACCAAAGGGTAGTCTTTTCATTCTCAAATTTTATTTCTTCCTAGGGTTATCTAACACCACAGAATTTAAGAATTGTCTATCTTTTCAGAAATTTTATCATTAAGAAAGCATTCTCTATATCACCATTAAACGCTATTTTGTATACGAAATTTTAGAATCCATCAAGAATATTTGGATTTAAATTGG